TATAATATAGCATTCGATTACCGTGCATACTTTATCTTTTAATTTTTTATTCTTATTCTTATGTAATCTTTAGGAGTACAATAGAAATAACGAAAGAATAAAATTCGAAAAATTATAGTTGTATATAAATAATAACAAACCCACAACTCCAAGTGCAGAGGTATCAATGTCACGTTGTCTCCAAGTAACAAAAACTCCACCTAACAATCCGTGCAGAAATATAACGTCCATTTTTGTTGCTGCGTGAATTCTGTGTAGAGGATGGAGAAGATAGACGCTCTGCGGATAATTCACTTTCTCGTTTTCATTTGTATCTAGATTCACCAATGCACTGATCGCCTGTGCTGATAGACGAATGTCATCGCTGTGGGACCAATGTGACAATATGCCTATCCATCCTTTATCGAAACAGTTATGTTATCAGCAATGCAATAATACATTACAGAAAGATCAAGTCTATCTTACCGGACTCATAGATAGTTTCTAAATATTCGGAATGAAGAGATATGTTGGATAATATCCTTGCGAGTAATATACATATTTCTATGTCATCATTGCAAATTTTTTGTATCGCTGTCAATATTGGCAAAGCTCCAGCTTTAATCAAATCTAAAATCCAAAAATTAAGCAAAAGATAAATAGTGTATATCAATATGTAGAATTATACAAAAACATTTTCATAACTTACGTTTGCTATATTGTTCCACAGAGGAATGATGACAGATTGCACGAATGCAACTTTTAAGTAATTCATCATCCCGAACTGTTGTCGTTTCCACAGAGAGACCCACACTTGTCAAATCATGGTCAAACCATTCTACAAGATACTATACATCAATTGAATAGATGATTACAGCATGAATGCTATTAAGTTACAATTACAATATTGTAATATTAAAAAAAATTGAAATATCTATAAACTAAATTATGTCTAAAATTATTTGTTGCATGTCATTATATTGCAATACATTTATAACAAATTATAATTTCAGAATAATAATTAATAGATATTTCAATTTTTTAACATCAAAGATAATAATTTAAATAATTATATATTAACATTTTTCATTTTAATATTTTTTTCATGCATATTCAAATACTTACTCGATGCGAGTCTTTAAACATTTTACTGAGAAATTGTGTGAGGCAGAGATGTGTGTTGTCACATAAAGCATTCAAATTTAACAACAGCGAATGTACCTTTTCTAATACTTCCTGTAAAAAAATATTGAATGCATTTTTACAACAATGAAAAATATTGGCAAATACTATATATATATTTTATCCTTTTAGAAAGTTAAAATACTTTTAGAAAGTTAAGCTTAAAATAATTGGAAGTTAAATTTAAAATAAAACTACATACATCTAAATTGTACTGCACATGATAATATGGTGGTTGCAAAAAGAACAATAAGTTAACATTAGGCATTCTTGCGAGAGCTACTGCTGTTTTAGCATCCATCATCTGTGCCAAATGACGATACTGCCAATCTGAAAGATTTATTTAGAGAAACATTCTAAAGGCTGGACTCAAGAATACACATTGAAAATTGAAAGACTGAAATTTGATCAATCTAAACAATAGGAACTAACATTTTCTTGTCCTTATTGGTTAAATTTCAATTTTCAATTTCAATCTTCAATCTCAATCTTCAATGTTTAGTCTGATTTTGACCTTAGACACAGATTTAGAATTCTACCAAAGATATTATTTTAACAACAAAGATAAAATGATATCTGAGTGATACTCGGATAAAAACATAGTTATTACCTTTTAAATGTGACAGAGAACCAAGTGTAGTCACAGCTTTATATCGTTCATTTTTGTTCCCATGTTGAGCCATATACAATAATTTATATGCAATCTTATGATTTTTCATCTTCCACCATTTCGCCAGAGCATCACTGAGACTTGTTGGCTTCTCTGATGTAGGTCCATGTAAATCCTCATCCTTCCTAAACATGAAAATATCTGAAACCAGAGGATCAATGTTTATACATAAAAATGTATATATAGGCTATGTTCCAATATATAATACTAGTACTAAAAATATATAGTACATGTAATGTAAACTGTAGATTTCTAGTATTGGCAATATATATCAGAATACAACAATTATATACTGCTGTTGAAAGTGGATGATTACCTTTAAATCGAGGATCATCAATGTAGATGTACTGTGCTCGGGTTTGCTCTAAATTTAGAATACTTGTGTTGATAGCCGACCGAATAATCTGCGATACCTGTCGCAGTTGATACAGAAACCAGCATCCTCTAAACAGGATATAATTTCAATATAAAGGTGACATTTGATGTAACTTTGATTTCGAGTCACCTGGCAGAAAGTTATCTTGGAATGACTCACCCGAGCACCACGACGCAAATGCCACTAGTCTTCAGATAATACACGTAGTTTCTCGTCACTTGTGCTCGCATCGCGTTCACAGGCTACGGAGAAGATTCTCGACACGATCATCAACAAAACGGAATCAAATTCCGTTGCAATGGACGTCACATTTCAAACAATTTCGAACTTTGAAAGATGTATTGAACTATTCACACGCGCGAAAAACGCGATTGAAACTCAACAGCGTTCAGAAAATATACATCGTCAAGCCTTCGAGAAAACTGAAATGATTGGTCTGGAAATGTTCACCAATTAGGCGATTTCGTATTTTCCGAATGCGAATGACGTCTTTCGGTTCGACATTTTCAAAATAAATAAGGGAGCACGTTTAGGGATCATTTATACTGGTAAGTACTCTCTCTTCGTTTCAATTGATATTTTGTCATGCAATTCTTTCTTCATGTAGAAAATGCGAGAAAGTATAAGTAATTACAAGAAATTTTTATTCTCAAAGATTTTTGCAGCTACATTTTTTTGTTTTCACTATTTTTTCTAATTTTTAATTATATATTTTATCATTAATTATATAATTTAATTAAATAATTATAAAATTTAATTATATACATTTATATACATTTCATTTTGGAAACATATACGTACGATGAATTATCGAATGATAAAATTTACAAAAAAG